TGTCTTTTAAAAAACAAAATCCGATAACGAACTCAAAAATGAGGCAGCTCCTAATTTTTATTAAGCATGAAGTTTAAGTAGAGGAAACAACTTTAAAATGAAGGAGTTCGAGATAATTTTTTCAGAAGGCTCAGTTTGGAAAGAGTAAAAATATGTATAAATACATATAAAATAATACAAAATACAAGGTTTTGAGCTCTACATATTTGCATTTATACTTCTTCTAAATGGAACCTAAGACTTATTTCCGAAAGAGTACAAATACAGATATATATAGTATAAATAGATACAAAAATTTGTATTTTATATATTTGTATTTGTCCTCCTTCCAAACAAAGAAAAGAAATCCCAACAAAAACGTTGTCATTTTTCAGAAAAAAATACATCTGAATTATCAACTTTGTACGGGACACTTTCTGGAAACTACAGCGACAAGCGTTTGGTAAAGAAACCAGTCAACACAAGAATCTTTGATGTGGATAGCTAGCTAGATATAGAAGGTTCCATATGAGTGTCACCCGCAAATTGCGTGTCTATATTTTACGATAATTTCGATCAACTTTGTCCAACCATTGGTGCATTATAAAGTTTTTTTTTTTTTCTAAAATTTGGAATTCTAGGACTTTTTTGGGTTAAGTTTTAATAGATTTACAGTCTATATTATTATTTTTTGTTTTAATATTATATCCAAAATCGTGGATGTAAATACCTGAAACTGAAATTTTACAAGATTTCTTAAAAGTTATTTATCAGAATTCAAATAATTGCCACATCAGCAAAATCACATAGTTTTTACTGATGTGGCAGTTGCTTAAAAAAGAAAAATCATATATTATTAATGTTAGCACACGAGTATGGATCTGCTGCACTTTCTTTTCTTGCACTAAGCATCAATATGTGTGACAGATGTTCAGGAGTTGGTGTAAAAGGAAAGGAGAATATCTGAACTCAATAGTTGTTGAGTAGGTTGTGAAACCAAGAATAACACTTCACACCAGTTATAAAGTATATATATGGGGCTCACAACCATTCAATTTCTCAGTGGGGATATTTTGTCATCAGCATGGGGCATTATCATTGGTTCCACAGCCTGTTATACACAGCTAAAGGGTCTAGCTAATCAGAATTTGTGTAAAACTCAGTTACTACTTGTATAAAATGGAAAACTAGCCACACACTAATTGCTTAATAGTAAGTATAGGAAAAAAGTGCAGTAGATCTGGATACTTGGCCAATGGCCACCTCCCATAAACGGAGGGATTTGGATTAGTTGAACGCGATGGCTGTTCAGCTGGGTGTGGAATCAATGATGAATTTTCACGTCAGTAATAAATTCATGTGCCCCACTGTAAAGGATGCGAGTCTCATGCATTTTATTATTGGCATGGAACCTTATCATTGATTCTACAGCCCGCTGAACAGCCATTAAGTTCAGCTAAACTTTGCTCTAAATGAAGAGCCAATTAGTTGAATTTGATGGCTGTTTTATAAGCCACAGGACTAATAATTTTGCTCCACTCTAGTTATAAATACAAGTAAGAGATTGAGTGATTATGGACTGGGGGCTGGTGCATGTGGGGCAAAATGATTGATTCCACAGCCAGTAAACTAGCCATCAAATTCAGTTAATCCTTTCCCCCTTAAATCATGTTTCCCAAATCAAAAGAGTATAATGACACACACATATAGTTTGACGTTGGCCTAGGCAGGCCCAATTACCAAAGGGTCCTACATCAAATTCCAAAGAACTCTAGTATATATTTTGAGGTTTGCACGATCGGAAAGAATAAGAATGGACAATAATAATGATAACGATTTTGTAGTAAGGAATAACCTTTTGAGACAAAGATGGAGAGAGAAAGAGAGCCCACAAATACCATGTCTCAATGGATGTAATTGGAAGAAGAAAAATAAACAGTAATCTATACTACTTTAAAAAGTATGAATAGCCTCAAGAATATTCTTGAAATTTTGTAATAACAAAATTTACCCCTCTATACTTAAATTTATTGATAAAAAATGAGAGAAATTATGTTAATTAATTATTTATATTAAATGAGTTGAAAAGAGTTAATTTTAAGATATTCAATGCATTCAATTATCTTTCATTAAATCGAACATTTACGGTATTAATTTGCATTCGTCTTCATTGAATCATATATTTAAGGCTTCTTCGTTTCTTCTCGTCTTTAAATTCTATAATTAAATAAGTACATAATAAATTAATAATTTTAATAACATAAAAAACCTATACTTTTAAAATTTACTTTAAAAAAAGTGTTTTCATCTAAGTGGTGGTAAGAAATTAAACCATTTGGGTCAAATGGGCCAATCCATGTTGCCACAATTAAATAATAAAATTCAAAAATATATAGAATACAAAAATATAGAAATTAAAAAGCTAGTAACGTTTTTAACATCATAAGTATGATAAACAATGTTTTAAAAATCGACCCGAAGGCTGGCCCTCTTTTCCTTTCAGGTCATAAGGCACCAGTTCGAATGTCGAGGTCAAACGATTCAAACCACTCTGCATTAACACTATGTGTGTGTGTGTGTAAAAATACATATTTTATCAATAAATAATTTAGTTATGCTTTACATATATCATAGTTATGTTTTACATGTATTACATATAACATATGTATTATGTTATATTTATTTATGTTTTTTTAATTCTATTTTAATTTTTTTTATATTTATACAAATATTAAAATTTGCAATTTAGGGCAAAAATAGAGTTTTTTCCACGAAAATAGCAAGGTAAGGCGCATAATGCCCTTGAGTCGTATAGATCTTGAAAAGTTACTCAAAATAAAAGAAAAGATAACCCCAGTCGGACATCAAAGTGCAAAGTTATGACTTCTAAAAGTTGGCACATAATTAAGTGCGCAACATGCAATTTGGTTACTGGGTTAAACAGGTCAATGGTTGAATCACCCAAGTTATACGGTATTTTACCAAAAGGGGGAGTTTCAACAGAACCAAACCTAGAATCAAGGCTGAGTGACGATTCGAACGATTCAATCAACCAGATCAACAACAAGTTGAAAACATCGGTAATAAATAAGAAATGCTTTTATTAATGATGGAAATGAAATGTAAAACTTAAAACCAACCGAAAGTAAAACTATTTTCCTATTATCTCTCATTAAATCTCATATCTAAGGTATATTCTCTTATTAAATCTTATATTTTAGATATATTTTGTTATCATCATTAAATTGTATTAATTAAATCCACAACATTAATTTTAATAATATAAAAACAAATATTCTGAAAAATATTTTGAAAACAAAACCATTTTCTTCCCTTGGTGGTGGGTAAGCAATTCAACCATTTGGGGTCAATTCTGTTAATAAATAATGCCATAATTATATAATAAAAAATTAAAATATATAATACAAAAAATAAAAAAGAACTGGACATGCCATTAATATTGTATATTCATTATGCTAAACATAAATAGTATGAAATATAAGAAGTACTTTTGTACATAATGAAAGTGAAATGCCAAAATTAAAATCAACCTAAAAATGAAATGATGTCATAGTCAAATAATAGCATTTTTAAAAATAGAAAATACAAAGAATCACAAAAATAAATATTATACATAAGATATAATATTATATATTTAAAAAAAAACAAAATATTGGTTACATATATAATATTATACATTCATTATATTGAACGAAAATAAATATTATACAAAAGATACAAATTTATCAATAATGAAAATGTAATAGAAAATTTAATGTTAACCTAGAAATCAAACTATTTTTCTTTTTGGGTTGTGGGTTAGTGGTTTGGGTCAAATGTATTAATCGACGGTATAATAGTTAAATAATAAATATTTAAAAAATAATAAAAAAGTACAAGTAATCAAAATAATACATAAAAAATTATATATTAATTATGTCAAACAAAAATTAAGTGTGACAAGTAAAAATTATGTATATAATGTAGCTGAAATATATAATTTAAAATTGATCCAAAAGTAAAGCTATTTTCTTATTTAAATGGTGGGTCAATGATCCAACTTTTCAAAGAAATTCATGATATCATAATTGAATAATAAATATTTAAAAATGATAGAACACAAAAGATAAAAAAAGTATAGAGTTTTGTCAAAGAAATTTTGGAACATTTCTAATGTTATATAATCATCATATTAAATCAAAATAAATGTTAAAATAAAAATTAATTTTATTTAAGACATAAATAGAATACAAAATTTAGTAGCAATAGTAGTAGTAATAGTAGTAGTAGTAATAATAATAATAATAACTGTAATTTAAAATTTTTGAAGATGCACCATGCACATTTAGTCCAAGTATTTAAGTTTATTTCTAACCATATTATTATTTTTATTAATTTTCAATTTCTATCTCAACTAATATATATCTAAAATTAAAATAATTAATATAAAAAAAATTATACGTATAGTACACGTGCTTAATTACTAGTAGCTTAAATTGGGAGAAATTTGTGTGGAAAAGCGGCATAGACCAACCGACAGAGCAGGAGAAGCAAGGTAGTTTTCTTGGCTTGGAATTGAAGGGATATGAATAGGTTGGCAGTTAGAACCACTCTTTGTTCACTCAGACTGATGGACGGACGGAAAACACTCGTACACACACATGCACTCACTCCCAACACCTCTTTACACAGAGACATACAACACACACACACAAACACCTATCACATACCGTCCTTCCGTCCGTCCGTGGGGTTGACCGCCGGCGGCGCCACCACCACAACCGGAGAAAAAGTCTCCCTCTCTTTACCGTCCTTCCACTTGTCACACACTCTCTCAACTTACACTCCATTCTTCTTCTCTCATCCACCACAAACCAATAGCTCAACTAAAAACTAGGACTCCCCTACTTTAGACACCATTCCCTTTACACCATACAACCCAACAGCAACCTCTAGTACAAGAACATCCTTTTTCTTCTTTCTACACTTAAAAAAAAAAAAAAAAGAAAAAACCCAAATCATCTCTCTCCCTCTCTGTCCAGTTGTAAGGTTTGTTACATATGGCTATGACTGTGGATCAACAGCCAGGTTTTAAGCATTTTTGTCGGGTTTGCAAGAAGGGATTTGGGTGTGGCAGAGCTCTAGGAGGTCACATGAGAGCCCATGGTATCGGAGACGAGGCCGGACAGATGGAAGATGAGGACCAAGCTAGCGATTGGGAGGACAAGCTAGGAGGGAATACTCCCCCCGGCAACAAGCGCATGTATGCATTGAGGACCAACCCCAACCGGCTCAAGAGCTGTCGGATCTGTGAGAACTGTGGTAAGGAGTTCTCTTCATGGAAATCATTCCTTGAACACGGCAAATGTAGCTCCGAGGACGTGGAATCTCTTGTGTCCTCGCCGTTGCCGGGATCCGACGATGAAGACGGTGCAGGACGGAGGGGGTGTGGTTGGTCTAAACGGAGGAGGTCGATGCGGACTAAAGTGGGCAATTCCAACTCCAATTGCCCGTCGAGCGAGGAGGAGGATCTTGCCAACTGCCTTGTGATGCTATCGACGGCAAGGGTCGATCCTCTCGTGGCCGAGACTGAGGAGTCGTGCGCCTCCGCTAGCAAGGAGGAGGAGCGGCGGAACCCAGTCGGGGTGGTGGTTCCAGTCCCCAGTGCCAACCGAATATCCGCCAGTAATATCGTCGAGAAGGCCAAGGGGGTTGCCAGAGGGATGTTCGAATGCAAAGCTTGTAAGAAGGTTTTCAATTCACACCAAGCATTGGGAGGCCATCGAGCCAGTCACAAGAAGGTCAAGGGGTGCTTCGCTGCAAGGCTCGACGATCATGACGAGAGCCTCGTCGAAGAAGATGTCATCACCCACGACGAATTCCTGATACCCACTAAGTCTAATGCAATTCTACCCTTCGAGCAGGCCTCACAACCTCCGTTGGCCATCCCGGCCAAGAGAAAATCCAAGGTGCATGAGTGCTCTATATGTCATCGGGTCTTCTCCTCCGGCCAGGCCTTAGGTGGCCACAAACGGTGTCACTGGGTCACCTCTAATTCCCCGGATACATCTTCCATCGCCAAGTTTCATCAGTTTCAAGACCAAACCCAACAGCTCCATCAAAGACCCAAGTTCAACAAGTCGGAGCCTCTAGATCTCAACCTCCCTGCACCTGTCGACGACATCGCCGGAGTTCGGCAGGATCCCGAGAACCCGTTAAGCTTTGATGTCCCGACGGCGATTTTTCTACAGCCTTGGATAGGCATTGATACCAACACCAACTCTGATCATCATCATCATCATCCTCCCCACGCCCACCTGAACAACGAAGATAACAATGAGGACAACAATAACAATACCACCACCACTACCAACGCCAATACATCGGTGCTCAACGTGGATGATGAAGCAGACAGTAAGGTCAAGCTAGCAAAGCTTAGTGAGCTAAAGGACATGAGCATGGGTGGTGGTTCCTCTCCATGGTTGCAGGTGGGAATTGGTTCAACAGGTAATGGGGGTGGTGGTGACCCCTAAAAGGTTTGAATCAAGAGAGCATCCTCACTGTGTATTTTTTGTATCAACTGTAATTACAGATTCAACAACCTAAACCCACGATTCTTGTTACTATTTTTGTAATTTCTCTTTCAGGTGGGTCCATGAGAAAGTCCCATCCACGATTCCTGGCTGGATTCTGATCACATATTTTTCTTTTTATTTTCTTTTTATTTTCTGAATAAAAAATGATTTTCTCCTGTGAATTCATTGGGAAACAAAGCTACTTGGGGAACAGAGCAAGACGAGACTTGGGAGAGAGTATTAGTAGTCTTTTGCTTCATCAGTTGAATATAATGTCTCATTGATTTGTGGTGATGAGTTTCGTCTCCAATGTCCTCTTTTGCTTCTTGTCGTCGCACAGTGAAGACTGAAGACTTCACATTCTTCCTCTGCCGGGCGTGTATTCTATTTCTACGTTCCCACACCAAACCCAAAAGCGATCCAAACCTAATTCAATCTCAAGTTTCAACCTCTAAGAGTAGGGAGTACTCCCACTGTTCTAAAATCCATTGATCCACAGTCTTGAATCGAAAACTCTCTAGTCTCAACTCTCGTTTCTTCTCAAGTAGTGCAGGATTTCCACTCAGTACGAGAGAATAAGAGCTGTTTGTCTGTTACCATGTGATCAGTATTCAGAATTAATGGGAGGTGGATGAATGAAAACAAGCACCTGATTGGTTGGAAGAATCAGTTCTACTGAATTGGCTCCAGAAGAATCTTCAGTGGGACCAACTCCTTGGTTTGTTTGCCATTTGTACAGCTAAGGACAGGCTCTAAAATATCTGTCCAAACGACGGTTGACTCTCAACTGAATATATAAATAAGATATTGTCTGTAGTGCAGATCATAAACTGCACTTGCCAAACAAGGAATAGCTTTGCAACCATAATTGTCTCCCCACCAAGACTTGAAAAATAGCTATAGTTGGATTAACTTTGACCTACGAACACGGACCACTGGACCAGCAAGAGCGGTTGTGAAATGCATGTGGGACAAAGCACGTCTTCGTCGATTCTTTTTACCTAATTTCTCGCAAGTGTTATATTCACCAACAATTACTTGCCACGTGGCAATTTGTACTACAGAAAAAAAATTCCGGAAGGGCTGTCGGCTTGTCAGCTGGCTCCGGCCTCCGGTAAACGAGGAACCGATGAGCTTGGGTTTGGTACTTTGGTTGGTAAAGCATAAAGCTAAGCCTTAGCCCAATATCAGCCCAATACTGATACTGCTGATACTGGGCTGAGTTGAGTTTTTGTAAATTTTTGAATGGGCTTAGCATATATATATATATAGAGGTCATCCCAAGCTATAGCCATACAAACATCTACTTGTTTCCAAAAGCCCAAGTAGGGCTTCAAATGGGCCATGCAGACGTAGTGGGCTTTAAGGATTTTTATTGAAGCCCAACTCCATTAACAACGCTCGTACTAAATTTAAGTACTTAGCAAGATATCCAGTTGACACGTAGAGTGAGATGGTGGTTTGTTCACTTCAACTCAAAGCCATTTCGTCTTCTGTGGAGCGTTCGCCAATGGAACCTTTTTGCAAGCTTCGAATTTTAAGAAAGCAGGCTGCGGGCCCATGATTTGATTTGTAAAAGGTGAGGTGTTGTCCACATCATTGTTCTCCACGTTGGCTGGTTGCATCACTCGGCCAGGTGTTGCCCACATCAGCATCTATGGGGTGGTTTACACCCCATCAATATGGAAACATAGATATAAAGATTTTCTTTTTAAATATTTAAAACTTCAATCCATACTACTACTGAGATCCAGGTGCAATAATACATCCATGATGCCATCATGAGTCATGACATCTTAGCAATTTAATTGGAAATCGGTTTTCTGTTCAAAATTATCATCAGCTAGATTTTTCTGTTTAATCTACGAATGGGTTTTTATGGATTTCTTGTGACTTTGCCATGAAGAAACCCTAAAATGAACCATTTGTGGGAGGCAAAGAAAGGTGAGATAAGAATAGGTCATTTTATGATTTAAAGAAAAACCATCTTACAGTGAAGGTGGCTTTATTTATTTCATAATGAAGCACAATTATACTATTGTTGAGTTGGCTCAGGGTGCCATGTGGCCGCCAAGTCACCTCGGCCATGTTGGCACTGTGCTGTTTCTATTTCTATGGCCCACACCTTATCTTTCCAACCACATCGATTCCACATCATGTAGATAAGCACGACCAAGGACAGGAGAGGATGGAGACAACTCTGCTGGGGATTATGAGTCATCTCAAAGACCTCGGCGGTTAACCTCATTCCGAAAACCCCAGAAGTCTAATTTGATCAGGACACAAACTTTCGACTATAAAAAGGCACTCCCCGCTCGAGGTAAGGGATCCAACTTCTAACTCTCATACTGTTATATTGCTCGGATCAACATTGTTCTTCAATTGCTCGGCCCAATTACCTACTGCCTTCTATTGACTTGAGCATCAAAATATCTACCCGGGGACAACTCCTCGGGCCTCTGACATTTTCTTGTTTGCAGATTTCAATGCGCGACTTCATCCTTCCACCTCGGCTCCGCCCTGTTGAAAATGACTATCTGACTACGACCTTAGTTCTTGCACCACCTAGGATCAATTAGCATTAATTATATTCGTAAATCTGACTTGGATTGTTGAAGCCTTGAAGAGTTATGGGAGACACATCAATGCTGTGTTTGGAACCTCTTGAATAGATTATGTGGCATTTTAATTGCTTTATTTGGTTTGAAGGAAAAAAAGTAAGGAAAGGAAGGGAAAGGTGGGAAAGAGCACACGTCATCATATAGCACTTCTCCCGCTGTAATAATAATACAACTCTATCAAAATACGATGGGTTCTCTTTCTCCTGAAAACTGAAACGACTCCATTTCAGATGATGTAATTGTGAACATACATTGAGAACCTCTACACATGTTTATAAATTGCAATAGTTATTTTATTTGATTTTTTGAACTAGGGTTGGGTCGGAAAGATTAGGAACAGTAAGATGTCAACATCTTCAATGTGAGAAAGCTTTCTGTAATTTTGTTGTCTGTCTAATCCGTCCAAATTGATTTTGGTTTGGATGGGATCCAATCCAAAACCGGTCCATGGACACCCTTACATACCTACACTGAAATATTCTTCCAAGGCTATGTTTGGGTTGAGAGAGAAATAGAAACTTTTCCTCAATTTTCTTTTTCTCTTAGGCCCCATTCACATTTCGGTAAGTTATTTACCCTGGTAAATGCACTTATCCAGGTAATTGTATCACAGGAAAGATTTAACCAGGTAAGTGCATTTACTCATGTTTTTTATTTTCCATGTAAATAAAGTAATGATCATTTTATCCATAAAAATCCATTATTACAATGGGCATTTTTGTCCCTTTCAAGTGTTGGCAACTTTCTCATAAGGTGGGAAAGCTATTTACCCACCTAGGAGATGGGTATCACTTCCCAGGAAAATAACCTTTCCCTGGTCCCCACATAAGTTTAAAAAAAGAAGATATAATTTTTGATCAATGGGAATCAAAATCCCATTGAATAACCCATATGGCCTAATAAAAAGTTGAAGGAAAGTTCTTTCAAACCAAACACAGTCAAAAGAGTATTGACTGTGTTTGTTGACCAACACTTCCTCTTCTTTTTTACCTTAATTGTGATCATAGTTCAAAGTATCGACAATAGAGTTGATTTTGTTTGTGGAAATAAAAACCACTGCAACATTAGCATAAACAATAGGAGATTGGATTGTCCTCACAAAATTGGTCCCTACACCATCCTCATAACACTAGCTGCCGCCCATCGGAAACACCTCTTTACTTGTATGTTTTCATTCATGACTCATGAGAAATGTTCCCAATGCACGAATGTACGAATGTTATGACGATAGCGTTAGGATGAAATCAGGATTCAAACAATAGTTACAACTTTTTAATAGGCTTAAACATTAATGTCTGTCCTAATAACATCAATTTGTGAATTTTCCAAACTGAAAAAAAAAAAATATCAAAGGAGTACTGATGATTAAAACTCTAGATAAATGCTTTTTTGCATATCCAGAGTATTGATGCTTTGAACCATGCTTGACATTGTAGTCATGATTTTTATTCTAGATAAATGAAAACCATGTTTTCATGTTATTATGGACATTGTAGTCCTGATTTTTATTCTAAAATGCAAATTGACAGACACTAAAAGCTAAATTGATTTGGTTATGAGATACTTGGCCACATGAATATGCTTTGAAAAAATTGCCAAATTATTCGCTTTAAGTTTCCTTAACGGGCATGATTTGTGGAGAAGAATATGCCAGTACTTCATCTACCATAGAATATGCTAGGTACTGTCTGGTAAGACAGAAAAATTCCTTTTGGTTTTTTTTTTCCTAGACTCAAATGTCGCAACTCCGTGGTACGGTTGTTGGTTTGTTTGAGCAACGGGATTCCTCGTAAGCAAAAACTCTACACACACTTTCAAAGTATGAGAATTCTGTCATACATTATGTATACATGTGATATTCCCAATGTGTGGTTGGATGTTATGTGAACCTACCTTTTACTTGCGGGAGATCCAGGCTTGGGTGTGGAACGGTTTATGGATTTGTGCTATGATCCTAAATGGCCCCTATGGGGATTCCGGCACATCACCAAACATAAATTAAAATAAATAAAAAAAAGAAAAGAAAATGTGTGACAAATCTATATGCATAAATGTAATAATATATTTGTTCTTGTCCCATGCATTGCACTTAAGTGGGTCACAGATCTTAATATGAAAGGATGATGCTACATGGCATCGACTGGATGAGATTATGGCAAAATCAAGTATAAAAGGGGGTGCACAGCTTCAAGGTAAGGCATCTAGTCTACTCTTACTCTCTAATTTTCCCTCTCTCGAGTGACTTCGTCTGAGCTCTTGTCTCATACTTGATCTAACCCCGATCAAGCCTTAACTAACTTAATCGTTAAAATCCTTGCCCTTGAAATAACATCTCGATCAGAAACAAAATTACCTTATTGACCTCAACCCCATCCTAAGTAGCAACATTAATAAATAAGATCACTCCGAAAAATTATTTTTACATTTTCAATAAGTTTGTCCTTCTCTTCGAAACTCCACGTTGTGCGTAGATTTCTAAAAGGAAAG